GAGAAAGAGGAGGAACGGGAGTGATACGCGGTAACGAGAGAGGTCGGCTGGGAGTGAGAGGAGGGTTGGTTACCGGTTGGAGATGAGGGAGGGGAGAGAGGGCACAAGGTTGCACGGGGGGAATGTGGGGAGCGAGGGGAGGCAGATGTTGGAGTGAGGGTCGAACAAAGGGTGGGGGCTTCAGTAGGCTTGGTTGCTCCTTGTCTCCGTAAAGGCCGAACCTGGCTTTGATGCCTCTCGTTGGATGTGCTTGCATATAATGTGACTGTAGCAGATTTCGACGTGCTGGTTTCTTGGACTGGTAACATGGTAACTGGAAGCTTTCTGCTTTCTTTGTCGTGTTTCCTGCTCGCCTCTTGTACTGTACAACCTGGAGCGTCGTTGCTGAATGTCTTCATAAGAACTTCATCTGTATTGCAGGCCTCTGTCTTGATCTTATCAGAGCCGTTTGAGTCGGAGATGCGCTCCCTGCATTGGTGCGCGTCAGAATGTTCGGCGCAGCCTGCGGACGCGCAAGGATCATCGAAAATCTCCTCCTTCACGCGTTTTTGCGGAGGCGCACTCATCTGATCGGGGGAAAGTGGGGGGGAAGCGATGAAAGCGGAAAGGCAGGTTTAGAATAAACCCCGATCAGATGAGTGCGAGATTTCTGGGTTTTGGGAGGAGAACTTACGTACAATCATGGAATTTCCGCAGCGCTAACCTGCGATTCGAAGCGCTGCAAACGGCACTTACCGATTCGTTTTCGTGCGTCTTTCTTTTCGACGAACGCGGCAGCAGCGCGTCGTATTTCGATTTTAGCTCCGCGTGCTCCTCCGCCAAATCCCCCATCTCGCGCTTCGCCCGCTCATTTTCTTTCCGCAGTTCCGCCAGCTCCGCGTGCGCTTGCGCCAACTCCCCGCGCAGCCGCGTTAGCTCCCCTTCCCTCGCCAGCGTAGCGTGTTTCACGCGTCGGTTCTGGAACCATACCGCGACCTGACGTGGCTTTAATCGGAGCTGACTCGCCAGCTTTAGCCGCGTCTCGAGTTTAATTTCGCGCTCGATGTCCGTAAAATGCGACTCGAGCACTTCGATCTGCGCGGGCGATAGGCGCAGCTTGGACTTCCGCTTGGACTTGGGGGGCTTAGGAGTTGCGGGGGACCGTTGCGCAGAAGCGGCGGACGGAGAGGGGGAGGGGAACGGAAAAGGGGAATCCGCCGCTTTCTCGTGACACGCAGAGTAGTAGATGGGCGGCGAGTCACGAGCCGCTTCCTCAGCTTCGTCAGTTTCTTCGTCGTCCCCTCCCTCTCCCTCTTCCTCCTCCTCGTCGTCGATTTCGTGGCTAACGCGCCGCAGCAGCGGCGCTGGTTGCGCCGAGAAAAGTGCCGCCGCCGGGACCACGGGCTTCGAAAATCCCCGCGTGGTCCCGTTCTCGCTATTGATTGCCATAGAGGCAACCACGGCGCCGGTAATGCCAGTATCTCCCACTGCGGCTGTTGCTCTTGCCGCATTGGTATCGCCGTTGCTCGATTGCCCGGGACGAGCGGGAAAGGAATATGAAGGAAGCATCGAATGCAAGGTTAGCTTCACGCCGTATCCAGAAATCGGCGAGTCGCCGCCGTGAGGGTTGCGAGATGTGTGAGGTTCGCCGCGATAGTTGCAAGAGCCGCGAGAGCCGCGAGAGCCGCGAGAGCCGCGAGAAGTGCCTTCGGATGAGTGGTTCTTCTCCGAAGCGCGTATCGCGTGCGGAGCCTCGCATGCGACGTCGTTAGGATGGCCGTAGTCGTCGCCGTCGCCGTCGTCGTCGTCGCCGCGGTCGTCGCCATCGCCATCGCCATCGCCGTCGTCTTCTTCTTCGTCATCGTTCTCGTTCATGCGACGGTCGACGTCGTTGTCGTTGCTCGACAAATCAAAGCAATCCGGACGCTCGCCGCCGCCGCCCCCGCCGCCCCCGCCGCCCCGGCCGTCGACGTCCACAGGTCCCTCTTTTGTTCGCGAAAATGCTCGAGGGGGGAAGAAATCATGGGGTGGCCGTGTTTGATGTGACACATTGACGACAGGGTGTTGTTGCGAAAGTCGCTGCGACGAGGAAAACCCTGCGGCGACTGACGTCTGGCAGATCGACGCTCGGCAGATCGACGCTCGGCAGATCGATTGCTGCGGCGTAGAAGAGTCTATGACACGACGGCTCGTTTTTCCGCCGTCGTTTGGCGTCTTGACGAGCCTTTGCCGGGGCGCGGCAAGCTCGAGGCGGCTCTTGTCGGCGAAGAACGACGTGAAGAGCGGCAGTGAGTTGCCGTCGGACCGCGGATCCATCATGCGTGCGCGACTCACGCAATAAACCGTCGGACAGTTTGGAGAGTTGAAAAAAACGGCCTGTCGAATAGACCAAGCCCTTCTGGATGTAGATGTTGTCTGTCACTGGGGCGATGTGGCTGTGATGATTCTTGCGGCAACTGTCACCGTGACTTGTGAAAAAAAATCTTCAACGAGTTCGAAGTCGAGAGCGTTTCGGAGGTGGAATCACTGGATGCGTTGGACTGAAACCGGAAAGATGGTATATTCTTACAATTGGCGACTTCGTCGAGGGGGGCTACATAGCCCACATGCGCCGCAAGTGTCGGATCCCCACCTCTGCGTGATTAGGAGCGCGCAATAAATCAGAGGGGAGGTGGGAATAATCGAGGGAGGCGTATGTAGCGTACGGAGAGAGGAGATCCTAGGTTTTGACGATGGAGCACGAATGGGTTCGGTCTGGTTTGGAGAAGGTTTGGTCTGGTTCGGAGGAGGTTAGAAGCGTGACAGGCGTGTGTTTGAGAATCTGGACATTGCTTATTGGAGGTGTAGTCTTGCGAGATATGAATCGGGGTGAACGCGTTCCTCGCTTCCAGCCAATGGCGTTCCAGCAAATCGCCTAGTTGTGTCTATTATGGTTTTGAAACATCCCCGAGTTGCAAGGTGCAATCCGCGTTTGGTTTTGGCAGCTTCTGGACTCCCATTCAAGCTTGGGAAATTATACGCGCAGTCACATTTAAGCCCGTTTTATCGAAAAAGATTACAGGGTTATCACAAACGGTCACAGTACCGTACATTGCTATCGCGCGTGATCACAGCGCTATCACGCTTGGTCACACCTCGCCCCACGGGGTTATCACGTTTGGTCACTCGTTGAAACGACCCCTAAAAAGTTGAAATTACGATTCTTACTGTAGGGATTCAAGGAAAGTTCTCTCGCGCGCGCCGTTTTGTCTCTAGTATTACGAGATAATTTCGCGACAACTCTCGGTAACTCGTGAAAAAAACACCTGCAAATTCTTGTTACTATTTGATTATCCACTGTTCGAATTATGCATAGTGTTCCTAAGAATATCACTTTTAGACGGGTAAAACTCGAAGGGTAATTTCTGTTCCCAATACAAAAAAAACTAAAACCCATTCGGACGGGATTTTATTCGGGATGCATCAACCCTAAACACCTGGTCGCATGGTGTTTAGGGTTGATGCCTCCCGAATGACGTGCCTCCTATAGGGGTTTATTTGTCTTCATTCTCCTAAATGTCAGGCTAAAATCATGCGCGAGGTAACAAGCAATCAATATTGGAATTTCCCAAAATCTCTACAGTTTCTTCTGTGGTTTCAGATTAATCATTATCGTTTCATCGAGTGACCAAACGTGATAGCTTTTAGAGGCGAGGTGTGACCATTTGTGATAGCACTGTGATCACCCGCGATAGGAATCTACTGTACTGTGACTGTTTGTGATAGCCCTGTGACCTAACGCGATAAAACGGGCTTAATTGTGACTGTGACCCGCGATAGGAGTCCACTGTTTGTGTTTCCCTATCGTAGCGACCCTCCACTTGGGCAGGTTGCGGTGCAATAATGCGCATCAACGGTCGAGATGGAGTGATAGAGTGTTGGACGTACAAGAAACGAACGCGTTCATTCAAATATGTCGTCATCGAAGGCGACTGTGCCTTGTTCTCGATGATTGCAGACCCCGTACCCTTATTGGCAAGATTTTTTTACTCTCTGTTCATGCTCACCCTAATGGCTAATTCCAAGGGGAGAAGACAACACCACAACGCAATGCAACCCTAGCTGCTCATAGCATGAAACCCCACCTTTCTGAAAATAACAGTTGCCGCAATAGAAGCATTTTCGCCATCAGCAACATTATGTTCTCTTAAATTACTATAAGATCCACCACTCCAGCAACACAAACTATCTTTGGAGTCAGACTCAACAACTAAACAGTGGGTTCCTAAAAATAGCGGCTGCCACAATAGAAGAATCTCGGCTAGCAGCAACGCTATGCACTCTTATAACATCCGCCCCTCCAGCAACACAAGCTGCCACAGCTCCGCATGTCGCCCAGTCGCGATCCTTTCCAGCTGCCCGGCCGGTCAGCCTGCCCAAAAACCCTTTTCTTGAAGGGCCGAGAAGCATCGGGACATGCTCCAAACCTTTCCTGCACCTGCCCAATTCTTTTCTCAGCTGCCCGAGGTTCCTGATTAGCTCCAGACTCTGCTGCCCTGTTTTGGCAAACCCAATGCCTGGGTCCAGAATAATATTCCACAAGGGAATCCCAGCCCTCTCAGCAACGGCCACCTGGCATGCCAGCTCAGATGCCACGTCAGCAATAAGATCTTTGTACGTCGTGTTTTCAGAAGACTGCATGGTGGTCGGATCTCCCCGCATGTGCATCAGGACAAACGGGAGATTCAGGGCGGCGACCGTCCGCAGCATCTGCGGATCCATCGTGCCGCCCGACACATCATTGATGACGTCAGCGCCAGCTACGGCTGCTGACCTGGCAACCTCTGCATCGAAAGTGTCCACCGAGATGATCACATCTGGCGATCGCGATCGGACGGCCTGGATGACAGGGATGACACGTGTCAGCTCCTCATTGGTCGACAAGCGTATGGCTCCAGGCCTGGTGGACTGCCCTCCAATGTCAATAATATCTGCTCCTTCCGCCACCATTCTCTCTGCTTCTCTTGCTGCTGCCTCGACATTCACACATACACTGCTGTTGTTGTTTTTGCTGCTGCTGCCACTGCCGCCGCCGCCGCTGCTGCTGCTGCTACTGCCGCTGCTGCTGCTGCTGCTGCTGCTGCTGCTGCTGCTGCTGCTGCTGCTGCTGCTGCTGCTGCTGCTGCTGCTGCTGCTGCTGCTGCTGCTGCTGCTGCTGCTGCTACTGCCGCTGCTGCTGCTGCTGCTGCTGCTGCCTCTGTCGTCGCTGCCACTGCCGCTGTCATTCCCATCCCTGGTGAATCTCCCCCCATCACTAAAGCTATCAGGAGTGATGTTCAGAATACCCATTACCAGAGGCCGCTGCTGCCCCTCCCACGCCCACAAGGGACCCTCCCCCTCTTCCTTCCTCCCCTCGCTCTGCCCTCTAAATAGGCGCTGGGAAAGGGGAACTACCCTCCTCAGGTCCGTTCCCCCCACTGCTGCTTCTCCGCCCAGATTCTTCCAGAGGCTGGAATTCGAAGAACCGGAAGGGATGGAGGGATGGGTAAGAAAACATAATGTGTTTCGAACACATTATGAAGCATAATATGGAACATAGTACGAAACACTAAGGAACACGTAAAGGAACATAGAGGAGAAAGAAGGGAGCTGCTCCAAGCCAGAAAAACTGCGGGTAATACAAGACTTTTGAGGTGCCTCAGAAGGAGGTAGCTGCTCCAAGCCATCTCACCACTAAGCCCTTACACTCCAAGCCTTGCATTGCTCATCCCTTGCCCCTCGGCAATGCAAGAAAGTATATTTTTTCGAGACGTCCCACAACAACATGCTTTCACAAGAAAGGGCGCGTGCATGCACCTGGTCGTCTCCCCACTGAAATCCCAACACTTGTCTTTCATCCCACAGGGTGTTTTTGAGAATTCTCAAAAACACCCTGCAGCATCAAGAGAGGGCGCGTGCATGCACCTGGTCGTCTCCCCACTAGAATCCCAACACTTGTCTTTCATCCCACACCCATTGAGGAGATTTCAACCCACCTTGGAAACGCCTTGCGCAACACTCACCCACCTTACCCAGCCTCCTGGGTGTTCCACGCGGCATTTGGGGCACCCCAACCTCCCTAAATGCCTTGTAGAGCACCCTTGAAGAGCGCCCTTGAAGAGCACCCAAACAGAGCCCAGCAGGTCCGCCACGGGGGCGAGCACAAAAAGCCTGCAAGAGCCTCAGAACAAACCTCACCGCACCACGCTTACCCCGGCGCTCCATCCTTGCCAAACGCCTGGTGAAACACCCAAGAGGGTGTCTCCTCTTCGCCCCCAGCTTGAGCCGACCCCAGCAGGTCCGCCACTGGGGCCAGCACAAAGAGCCTCTCAGTCTCTGCTGGTTTGGAGGCGCCTCAATTAATAAACTTACCCCGGCACTCTATCCTTCCCAAACGCCTGGTGAAACACCCAAGAGGGTGTCTCCTCTTCGCCCCCAGCTTGAGCCGACCCCAATAGATCGATCACTGGCGCGAGCACAAAGAGCCTCTCTGCTACGCGCGGGTGTGGAACCTCGAGATCAAACGGGGTGCGGGTAGCTGCAGCAGCAGGAGCCGCAGGGGGGGCAGGAGCCGCAGGGGGAGCAGGAGCAGCTGGAAAAGCGGAACCAGCAGCAACAGGAGGAGGAGGAGGAGGAGCAGCAGGGGCAGCAGAACCGGCAGCACCAGCAGCAGCAGGAGCGGTTTCGTCTGGCCGGATGGTTCTAGATCCGTAGCAGATCAAATCGAGATCTAAGGGCCGGGGGCCGAAGCGCTGGGCGGTAAGAGGGTTGAGGTCCCTCCCGAGGGTTGACTCGATTGACTTGAGCAGAGAGAGCAGCGCGTGGGGGGGTAGGGTCGTGCGGGCCTGGTTTGGAGGAGAGAAGGAGAGGGAAGGAGAGGGAAGGAGAGGGAATTAAGTCAGTTACAAGGGTGAAGGTAGGTTGGCGAGTGGGTTGAGGTCCCTCCCGAGGGTTGACTCGATTGACTTGAGGAGAGAGAGCAGCGCGTGGGGAGGAAGGGTTGTGCGAGCCTGCAAAGGGGGGGAGGGTGATGTGAATTGGAAGTGACGGGTGAAGCGCTGGGCAGTGAGCGGGTTGAGGTTCCTTGATTGAGTTGAGGAGAGAGAGGAGAGAGAGAGAGAGGAGCGCATGGGGGTTGAGTGTTGTGCGTGCCTGCAGTGGATTAGGGAGGTAAGTCACCAGGGTGTGAAGCGCTGGGTAGTGAGCAGGTTGAGGAAAGAAGGCTGGCCTGTGGCATAGGCATCCACCGCAGAGTTGAAACGGTTCCGAACCGCAGCAGCAAGCCATGGGTCTTCATAGGAATTTCAGCTAAGTGAAGTGGGTGGGTTGCATTGTAGGGCTGGGAAAAAAGGTAGAAAACCAGGACGTGATAAGTCTTCTTTCCTCGAAATAGTTGAGGAAAGAGGGCTGGCCTGTGGCATAGGCAAAGGTGGAACAGTAATGGGGCACATGCAGTCTCCCTGTGACTTCTGAGTCGATCATATGCCACCGCCAGTTCATGTGTAGCTGGAGATAAATGGCTGGTGATGGCATAGGCATAGATGGAACAGAAATGAAGCACACTCACTCTCCCTGATACTTAACTGTTGAAAGAGGGGAAAAAAGTGGGGAGTGAGGGAACGTGTTCACTTGCCTGGATGGCGGAGTTGAGGAAGAGGGACTGGTGGGTGGCTATGACATAGGCAGGGAGGGGCGGGGCAGATTCCCTATCGCGCGGCTGTTATCATGGAGGGCACACACGTTCACTTACCTGGATGGCCGTGTTGAGGAAAAAAGGCTGGTCCGTGACATAGGCAGGAGCAGACTCGTACAGACAGCCGTGCTTGTAGACCTGCACCCTGCCTGCAATGATTGAAGGGGGGGAAAGAGAAGGGGGCGAGGGGAGAGGAGAAAAGGGGAGGGAACTGTGTGGTGCAGGCATGACTGCCTGCAGTGTCTCGCACAAACAGCGGTGTTTGTAAAACCGCACCCCTGCCTGCAGCAAACGAAGAGAAAAAAGGGAGGAGAGAAAGGGAAGGGAGGGTAGCAGGAAAGGGGAGGAAACTGGGTTACACCCCTCACAATACATCAGTACACAATCCAACCTCACAGGACAATGCATTTGCATGCACCTCGCACCCCTGACACGATACCATACCATTCACCCTGCCATCCGCAACGCACCATCTGCAGCACGCGGTGAAAATTCGCCACGCGATTCCCCATGTTTTCGACGATCGAAATCACCACATCCTGTCCCCTCCCTCTCACACACATAAGTGCAGTGCTCTGCACCCCTCTAAACCCTGACGAACCCCTCCCAACCACAACGCACCTCTCGCAACAATGTCAGCGTGCGGTGAAAATTCGCCACGCGATTCCCCAAACTCCCCCCGATCGCAATCACCACATCCTGTCCTCTGCTTATCACAAGTGCAGTTGCTCTGCACCCCTCCCAACCACAACGCACCTCTCGCAACATCTGCAAAGCTCGGTGGAAATTCGCCACGCGATTCCCGATGTTGCCCCCGATCGCAATCACCACGTCTTCTCCTTCTCCTCCTCCTCCTCCTGCTCCTGATCCCTTTGCTTTTCCTGCTCCTTTTCGTTCTTCTCTTCCTTCACGCAACCCTTGACTCCTCTCCCTCCCTCCCTCCGCTCCGGCCTCCCTTCCTGCCGATCCTCCCACCTGCATTTCAGTTTCTGTACCCGTTATAAGCCCGGACTCGGCACTGCTATGCAGCGATGCAGGACCCGAAAAAGGCAGAACGCGAATCCGATCCGCTGCGGTGCTGTCGATTGAGTTTCGAGTCGGCACAAAAGTCGCGACTGTTTCGTCCATTGAACGCCGCGAAAGCTGACGGCCAGATCGAATCGACATACGTTCTGATAAAAGAGTTGGTTTGAGACGACTCAAAACAACACTTCTATCAAATGAAATCGACATACGTTGTTTCGTTTGAGATATTGCGCTTGCGAAACCGAATCCGGCCTGTATCGGTTGTTGTTGCTGGTACTGCTGCTCATGGATGAAATGCAAGCAAACAGCCGATTCTCTAGCAGCCGACACTCTAGGAATGTCGCTACGGCAGGCTGGAAACGACGCCGAAGCGGACGCTGCGGGCCGAAAAACGGCTCCCGCCATCCGAAAACAAGCGCGGCGCATGCTGGAAGGCATTAAACGCGGAGCGCGAGACGTCTGACCATCCGCCTGCACCCTCCACGTGTGAGCGACCAGCAGGGGTGACCCTTCGAACGAATTGACTCATCGCACGAGGGGCAACTTTGTAGCAAAACGCAAACTGAACGTTTATGTATTGAACTGGCACGGCGAATTAGCGTTGCAATCATTGTCCGTATAACGAGTCGAGCGAACTTGTATCGCGAAGTATAGTAAATGCACCGTTTTTTAGTGTCGCGAATGAAACTTACTGTAGTCGGAGTAGCAGAAGGCTATTCATACTAAATGTGTATCTGGAGCAACTGACCTTCCCACACACCAAAAAGGAGCTAAACTTGAAGGCCATTAATGCAGAGCTACAGTACAGCACCAACAATATTTTGAATGGCCAGTGATCCTTGAACATGCTACGCTGTTCCTGCATTTGCAAATCTACAACTGATTACAGTGGCTGCTAAACCAGTCGAACATACGGTACCGGTAGGTAAAGATTTGACGGGCAACTTCGGTTGATAGGAATGGATAAGACCAACCAGAAACTAGAGCTAAGCAAATGATGCATAACATAAATAATTGTATGCTTGTAGACATATATTGCGCTTGGCAGAGAGGCGCCTATATGAAGAAATTCTGCATGACTCGCTTGGCACTGCTGACAGACCAGCGATACTCTGGGAAACCCACTAGGTCCTCCCTGGAATGAAGGGATTGGCAGCAGGAGATGCAGGGGAAGGACGATACCAAGCGTATCACTCTCTTGGAACTGCTGAAGGGCATGAGGAAGTCCTTGTAGGAGGAGAGGATGCGCTCGTGACACAGCAGAGGGGAGAGGAAGAGAGGAAGAGAGGGGAGGAGCACCTGAACGGCATGAGGAAGTCCTTATAGGTGGAGAGGATTCGCTCGTGGCACACGCCGCGGAGGGAGGGAAGAAACAACAGAGACACGCTACCTGAAGGGGGAAGGGCTTACCTGAAGGGGGCTTACCTGAAGGGGGCTTACCTGAAGGGGGCTTACCTGAAGGGCATGAGGAAGTCCTGATAGGAGGAGAGGATGCGCTCGTGACACAGCAGAGAGGGAAGGGTTGAAGGAGGGGAGGGTTGAAGGTGTTGAAACAGCACAGACAGGTTACCTGAAAGGGGAATTGGGTTACCTGAAGGGCATGAGGAAGTCCTTATAGGAGGAGAGGATGCGCTCGTGACACACGTTGCGAGGGAGAGGAAGAGAGGAAGAGAGGTGTGTGGGGAGGGGGGAGGGGCGCACCTGAAGGGAAGGTTACCTGAAGGGGCATGAGAAACTCTTTATAGGAGGAGAGGATGCGCTTGTGACACAGGAGAGAGGGGAGGGTTGAAGGGGGGAGGGAAACAGCACAGACAGGTTACCTGGAAGGGGAATTGGGTCCTGAAGGGCATGTTACCTGAAGGGCATGTTACCTGAAGGGCATGTTACCTGAAGGGCATGTTACCTGAAGGGCATGTTACCTGAAGGGCATGTTACCTGAAGGGCATGTTACCTGAAGGGCATGTTACCTGAAGGGCATGTTACCTGAAGGGCATGTTACCTGAAGGGCATGTTACCTGAAGGGCATGTTACCTGAAGGGCATGTTACCTGAAGGGCATGTTACCTGAAGGGCATGAGGAACTCCTTGTAGGAGGAGAGGATGCGCTCGTGGCACAGGCCGCGGATCTGAGTGCGCGCCACCGAGTCGTGCACGTGGAATCGGCGCATGTTGAAACAGAGCTCCTCAAACGCCCCGTTGAATGCATCCAGTCTGGAGGATGGATGGATGGATGGATGGATGGATGGATGGGAAGGGAGTAATTGGGGGCGGAGGGTGAGCAAGGTTGCATGCGGCAACTGAGTGGATCACGTGGGTGGAATCGGCGCATGTTGAAACAGAGCTCCTCAAATGCCCCGTTGAATGCATCCAGTCTGGGGGGTGTAGAAGGGGGAGAAGGGAGGGTAAAGAGGGGTTAACATGCGCAGAAGGGGTGTTTTTCTCATCTGCGACCTTGGCAGGGGAGAGATAAAAAGAAATGGAAAGTTTTTTTTTTTTTTTTTTTTTTGACAAAGACTATGCATGAACCCACTGAACCCATCCCACCTTCATCCCACCCCATCGCAATTCATCCCATCTTCTCATCCTACCTTTTCTGGAACTCGGCAGGAGGAATGCCCGTGGTGGGTGCACCTATTGACCCCATCATCTGTGCACGGGGAGGGGATGTGGGGAGAGAGAGATTTGATGACGCTGCAGGGGGGGATGTAACCGAGAGGTTGGAGATATGCCCGAGGTGGGTGTACCTATTTACTCCATCATCTGTGCATGGGGAGGGGATGTGGGGCGAAGGGGTGAAGAGGGAAAGGACATTAGGGAGAGGGAGAGAGAGTGGTATCAGCCCCGACAAACCGCCCTTTTGAGTCGACTCAAAACACAAACAGCCCTGCAAGATTGCAAAGAGAACTCAACCCTATCCTATTCCTCCCATCCTAATTCCTCCCATCCCTATTCCTCCCATCCTAATTCCTCCCATCCTAATTCCTCCCATCCTAATTCCTCCCATCCCTATTCCTCCCATCCTCATTCCTTTCATCCCTATTCCTCCCATCCTAATCCCTCCCATCCCTATTCCTCCCATCCTAATTCCCCCCATCCTAATTCCTCCCATCCTAATTCCTCCCATCCCTATTCCTCCCATCCCAATTCCTCCTACCCCTATTCCCCCCATCTTATTTCCTCCCATCCCTATTCCTCCCATCCTAATTCCTCCCATCCCTATTCCTCCCATCCTAATTCCTCCCATCCCTATTCCTCCCATCCATATTCCTCCCATCCTAAATCCTCCCATCCCTCCTAATCCTCCCATCCCTTCCTCCCATCCCTCTCCCTCCCATCCTTCTCCCTCCCATCCTTCCCTTCCATCCCTCTCCCTCCCATCCCACTCCCTCCCGACCCTCCTTTTCCCATCCCTCTCATATCATCCGCACTCCTTCCAAACCCACCGCACTCCTCCCAACCGACCACTTCACATCCCACCCACCCCTGTTCACATCCTGCAACACCACTCATAACCACCCCCCTTCCCACTCCCATCCTGCTCACATCATTCAGCAGCACGATTCATCTCGCTCAGCTGGCAGGCACGTCTAGGAAGCGGTTCATCTGCGTGTCTGCCAGTTGAGTCAACTCAACGGCCCTCCAACCGATCCCAACCGTTTCTCTTATCCCACCCACTGCCACCCACTCCCATCCCGCTCACATCTTTCAGCAGCGCGTCTAGAAAGCGGTTCATCTGAGTGTCTGCCAGCTGCCACCCCAAACCCTCCCACCTCTTCATATCCCACCCCACCTCTTGCACATCCTGCCAAACTCCTCCGAAACCCACCCCACCCATCCCGCTCACATCTTTCAGCAGCACATCCAGGAAGCGGCTCATCTGAGTGTCTGCGAGCTGCCATCCCCACCCCACCTCTTCACATCCCACTTCACCCTCCCAAACTCTCCCACACCCCACCCCACCCCTCCCAAACCCACCCCAACCGCTCACATCTTTCAGCAGCACGTCTAGGAAGCGGTTCATCTGAGTGTCTGCCAGCTGCCGATACTCCTTCGACATACGTAGGTCGGGGAACAGACTGCAAGCGAGGGGGGGGGGGGGGGGAAGGAGGCAATGGGGAAGTGGTGGGAAATGGGGGAATGAGTTAGAGGGATGATGTGAACGGGTCAAGCTGAGTGTCTGCCAGCTGCCGATACTCCTTCGACATACGTAGGTCGGGGAACAGACTGCAAGCGAGGGGGGGGAGGAGAGGGGAAAGGTGAGTCAAGCTGAGTGTCTGTCTGTCAGCTGGCGATACTCCTTTGACATACGCAGGTCAGGGAACAGGCTGCAAAGAGTGGGAGGGATGAGAGAGGAGGGGGAGTGGTGGGGGAGATACGAATACCGGGCATGAATAGAGGGGAGGAAGGAAGCGGTTCATCTGAATGTCTGCCAGCTGCCGATACTCCTTTGACATACGCAGGTCGGGGAACAGAAAAGATTGCAAGAAGAGAGGGGGTGGGGAGGTGGGGAGAGGAAGGGGGGCGCTGAAACGGCATGGGAGGGATTGAGGGGCATGGCACAATGAGAAAGTTTGAATGACACACAGGTTAACGAAACAAGAATTGGGGGAAAAGCACCTCCACTCACGATTGAAGTCTAGTTTTGAGGCGCCTCGAAACTAAACGGGCATGGGAGGGATTGAGGGGCATGGCACGATCCGAGTGTCTGAATGACACAACAAGAAGTGTCTGAATGCGTGCACGCACACACACACACAGGTTAACGAAACAAGAATTGGGGGAAAAGCGCCTCCACTCACGATTGAATGTAGGCCGCGTTGTTGAATAAATATAGCCCTCTCAAGACTTCTTGGACCGAAACCTTCCCTCCTTTCCCCCCTCCACCGCCCTTCGCACCCCCACCAGCAGCAGACGAGCTTATCTGAATCTCCACTCACGATTGAATGTAGGCCGCGTTGTTGAACAGATAAAGCCCTCTCACGATCTCCTGAACCGAAACCTTCCCCCCCCCCCTCTACCACCACCACCCCCTCTCCCCAACCATCACCAGTCGATAAGAACCTCACCTAGCAAAAACCCCACTCACGATTGAATGTAGGCCGCATTGTTGAACAGATATAACCCCCTCAAGATCTCCTGAACCGATACCTTCCCCCCTTTACCCCCGCCGCCGCCACCAGCCTTCCCGCCTCCATCCCCTTTCTCCTTCCCCTCTTTCCCACCCCCCAGCTTAAAAAACCCACTCTTTTTCTTCGCCTTCTTCTCCTCCTCTTCCTTCTTCTTCCCCGCATCCCCCCCATCCCTCGAATCCGCCACTGCAGAAGCCACCAGAGGCGCCTTGGCCTGTATAGCCGCCCACAACCCTTCCACCATGCCTGTTGCCATATCATGCCAGTCAGGGAGCTCGTCTGACTGGTGCTCGCATATCATGTCTAGGAGCTGGGCGTAGGACCATAGGGCCACACCGCCGCCGCTGCTGCTGTTGCTGATGCTGCTGGTTACTGGTTCGACTGCTGCTGCTGCTGCTGCTGCTGCTGCTTCTCCTCCTGCCCCTGCAGCACCACCCCCTGCAGCAGCAGCGGCAGCAGAAGGAGAAACAGGCGGCTTGGCAGCAGCAGCAGCAGAAGGAGAAGGGGGTTTGGCAGCAGCAGCAGCAGAAGGAGAAGGGGGTTTGGCAGCAGCAGCAGCACCACCCCCGCCCCCAGTGGCAGCAGCGGTCGGGGAGGGGGAAGGGGAGGCGTGAGGGGACGAACGGGAGGAAGAGTAGTTAGCAGAAACAGAGCTGGCCGGGGCTACGGAGACGGGGGGGGAAGGGGAAGGGTAGGTGGCGGAAACGGAGGAGGCGGGGAGCACGAGGGAGCGGCGGTTGGTGTTGACAGGCGTGCTGGTGAGACGCTTGAGAGAGGAGCGCCTGGAAGAGGAGGCGGAGGAGGAGGCGGAGCTGATGCTGTGCGCTCCTAGCAGCGCGTGCTTGGTGTCCCTGGGGGAATGGGAGGGTGGAGGGGGAGGGGCGGGGGAAGGGGAAGAGGAGAGGGGAGAAGGAAGGGGAGGAGAAAGTGAGAATACGCCCCGCCACCACAGAGGCAAGCTGGAAGCAGAGGAGGCGGCGGGTGGGGAGCACGAGGGAGCGAGGAGCGCCTGGAAGAGGAGGCGGAGGAGGAGGCGGAGCTGATGCTGTGCGCTCCTAGCAGCGCGTGCTTGGTGTCCCTGGGGGCATGGGGGCGAGGAAGAGAGGGGGAAAGGGGAAACGGTAAAAGGAACTGAGAAGAGAGAATGTTGAAGAGG